GTCTGTGGAAATCGCCTTCTGTTTAGGCCGCCTAGCTTTACGCGGCAGCTCCGCGTATTTGGAGTAGGGCTTATGCATGTCAGTGGATAATTTACGCTTCGTGTATTGTTTCCAACGAACGTTGTAGAAGATTTTCAATGAACAGTTTATTCTTGAGACTTGGAATGTAAATAGAGGTATTCTGTGATAGGGAGAGTAACACGTAAAAGGCTTAGTTTGTAGGATGAAATAGGATATATCGCCTCGCCCAGCGTGTTACCTGTCCGGCGTTTTTATAAATAACATACGTTCGTTGGAAATTGTTAGTTGTACGTCGTGCGTTTCGGGAAGTCATATATATTAGGCGGCCGTGACGTTTCAGGTACTTTCCTTGGAACGATTTAAGCACACATTCTCGTGTTAAGCATCCCTCGTGCATCTTTATATGAGAAAGGTTTAGGCCTACCTCTCTGAAAATTTGGTGTGGGTGATTACGGGTCGGATGTTGTCCTTGATGAAGGCAGTATTGCGAAACATGCCTCTGCCACTCAAATAAATTTTCCTCCTGTCATGGAACCTGAAGTTTAACCCTGTTTCTTAGAGCCCGTAACCGGTGTTATCCTGAGCCAGATAATCCATTTCACTTCTCGCCTCATTTCCATTTTAATATTATCCTCTTATCTACGTTTAGGTATTCCTTGCAGACTTCGCAGCCAAAATTGTGTGTGCATTTATTTACCCCATGCGTGCAATATGCTCTTAATCCCAAATTTGGAGCAGAGTTTCTAATTTTTTTTCTAAAACTGATTCCGGTGTGTTCACTTGTCTTGGCAAAACGTGTCGCTTGTAGCGTATGAGATTCTCGGATTCTGCTGCTCCATACGTTGCAGAGAGAAGAATCTAGGGCAGGGGTTCTCAGCTCTTTTCGCTGGCGTACAACTAATTCTAATTTAACAAATTAAATGTACCACTAACGAAATGCGCTCAGGGAAAACATATTTATGTTAATATTATCTTTTTATTTTATTACTTAGTTCGCGTACCACCAGTGGTACGCGTACCATAGGTTGATAAACGGCGGGCTAGGGGATTCTTTCTTTATACACGATAAGCATGCTTTTCTATAGTTCGTTTCTTTTCTTTTGAAGCTTGGGTTTTGATGTGACGTAACAGCCGATTGCAATAGCGAGTGAAGACAGACTTTTTAGCGGAAGCCTTCACGAGAGGATTTCAGTATTACCAAATTTTTACCTTTTACCAAACGAGCCTGGCTCGATCCACCTCACTCGGCTGTAAACGACAGGCTTAGCGACACTTGTTTTTTTTTTCGGTTCTGTACCACGTGACCTCACAAAAACCAATAGAGTCGCCCCCCCCCCCTC